TTGTGATACTTACACGATCTGGGACCTGCTGCGGGAGATGGCCGGCCCGGACGGCCTGGACTGCAGCGTGGACAACCTGATGGTGGACTTGGTGGTGGCGGCGGCCGGGGCGCTGGGCGGGGAGGCCTGTAGCAGCTGCGTCCAGGCGTACCAGCGGCTGGACCAACACGCTCAGGAAAAATACGAGGAGTTCGACCTCTTGCTGGAGAAGTACTTGCAATCGGAAGAGTACTCGGTCAGATCCTGCCTGACGGACTGCAAGGTAGGAGGGGGTGCTCCGGGGCTCCGTCGTCCCCGTCCCGTGCCGCCGGCTGGGCACCGAGCCGAGACCCGCAAGGGCTGACGGAGCCGCGCTCCTGCCTGACGGCGGGCTGGGGGGGTCTCCCTCCGCGGCCCCCTCCCCCTTTCCCCGAGACCCAAGCCTGGCGGGATGGGTCCGGAGCCCTCGGGGCAGGCGGGAGCCGGGGGTCGGTGGGAGCATGCGGGCGCTCACGCGTCCCTTCGCGCCCGTCCACGGGCAGGCAGGCTCCTGACGCTCCGCTCCCTGCCAGCCTCACCCGCGCCCCTTCACACGTAGGCACCCGCAGGCCCGGCCGGGGGTAGGTGTGGGGTCCCTCGCCACCGCCTCCGGCCCGCCGCTGCTGCGGAGGGGTGCTGCGCAGGGCTGGGGCGGCCCAGGGCTCTGCCCGGCCGTCGTTAAGCCGAGGCGTGTAGGCAAAGCGGTGACCTGAGATGAACCGCAATGCTGGAGCCCCTTCCCCGCGTGCAGCAGCCGTTTTCCAGCCCTTCCACCCCTTCTCCCCCGGGGGAGATGGGCCAGGATGCGCCTCCCCCTTGGCGTTCCCCCCAGCCCTGGTGCACGGTCCACGTTCCAAAAGCGAATGGGTTGCCTTCCCCAGCGTCAGTCGGATCGAGCCTCAGCATGGTGCCGTCGCCTCTCCGAAACGAGAGCTGTGGTCGCGTCTCCGTCCGGAGCCCGGCGTGGTTCTGCTGGGTGCTCCCCTGCTTTCTCCGGAGCCCCAGTGCCACGGCTCCTCCAGCCTCCACCTGCTCCAAGCTGCCTGGCTCACCTGTGCGCGCTCCCTCCGGACATTGCCTCTGGGAAGCATAACGGTCTTGATAATTAAACCTGCTTTCCCTTTCTCAGAGCCGTGTCTTGGGGGAGAGGCAGCGGAATGTGTTACAGCATCGTCCCCAGAGGGGTGGTGGCAGAGCATCCCCCCCGGTGACAGGACGGGGCTTGGCCACTGCTCTTCTGGGAGAGTTTTGAGGGACACTTGGAGCTGCGGTGGCAGCGCGGGCAGCTCTCGGTGCGGTGATCGTCCCCTGGGAAAGCACGGGAGCAGCACCGGGGCATGGCGTTGGGGACACCGAGGTGGTGTCTTTCATCAAGGGCACAACGGCGAGATCCTGGCCGCTGCTCTCACGCCCGCGTTTCTGCATTGCTTTTGTAAGGAGCCGGTTTTGGAAAGGAGCTAGTGCTGACGTTCTGGGCTGGTGCCAGGCCAGGTAATTACAATCTGCTTGCCCAAATTCCCCCTGCGGTTTCAAAGGTACATGGTATTCAGCCTGCACCGAGTGGTTTGGTCCTGCTGCTCCGCTTCCGCGGTGAATGAAGGGATTCAGCGCTGCCCGCCATTGCGCTGCTCCCACTCCCGGGGGCCCAGCAGAAGCAGGGTCTCCTCGTGCTGTCTCCTGTAGCGTGCACAGACGCCCTCACTGCAGGCTTAGCGTCCATCTCTGCTGAGTCCGTCTTGCTTGTGCTCGCTGGTATAGAAACCTCGAGAGAGTAGCAAAGACAGATAAGAAAATAATCATTACCTTTGGGTCTTGGGCAAGGAGGTGTTCCCATGGACTCTAAAGCATCTAGAAACAGAGCTGTGCTTAGACGCGTCTTCGTTAAGTGTTCCTGGTCTTAACATCCTTGATGGGAAAGCGGGAAATGAGCTTAGAAGATGCAGAGCTGAAGGTAGCAGTGGCGAGACACGTACCTCCTAACTTGCTCCATGTCACGTTGACGGTTGCATCCTTAGAGCATCTGTGAGACCAGCTTCGCGATTTCACAGGCGGCATTTGGGAAGCAACAGGAGGGCGCGAGCAGCAGGGCCAACCTGTACGCGCTCGCCCAGGCCACCCGCGAGGAAATTTCCAGTGCGGGTGCCTGAGCCTGCACGCACCGACCCAAGCCCTCGCAGCTCCCGCTCGTTTCAGTCTCTCATGAAAATCAGGCCACTTATTTAAGGTGCTTCAATACGTATTTAGGTGCCTTACTTCAGACTTTCACAGCTGCGAGTCTCAACGTTGCCCTCTCGGTGGCTGTTCCCCATCTGCGAAATGAGGCTAACGTCAGACTCATCCAGCGTGGTGGTGACGAGTGAGTTTTGGCCTGATTTCGAGTCCCCTGGACTTCAGCAGGGGCTGCAGTTACTCGTTGCGTTGAAAAAAATCTGGCTGGCGGGATTTCTGAAGCAGCCTGAATTTGTAATTCCTATCCAGATGCTGAATAATGCCCGCTTGTAAGCGACAGCAGAGAGCTACCGCTCGATGGTTGGAGCTAGATGATCTTTAAGGTCCCTTCCAACCCAAACCATTCTATGATTCTATGTTATGAGAGCAAATGACAGCAGAATAGGAGAGCGAGTGGAGGAAAATACAGCAGACGGCTCAGCCAACCTGAGAGGCTCCCGCAAAACCCCTGTAGCGGCACTCTGGCTGCGGAGAGCCGTGTAGCTGGGTGAACAGGTTTTAAATAGTATTTCTGGGGCTGGGTGAGTATGCGGGGCAGGGGACCATGCTCGCTGTGGGAGGTTAGTGCTGGAGGAGTTAGTGCTGCCTCCCATTTGCATCCTTCCTATTCCATAATAGCGGCTGGAAGAAAAGGAAGGCGGGGAAACAAAGCAGCTCCAGCTCACCTGCACACAGCCTCCCTCTGCAGAGCCACGTATCCCCCCCGTAATTTTGTCCCCGAGGAGCTGTGCGGCTCAGTAAACAGCACACATAGAGCTCTTTGGCAGCCGAATCACCCCGGTGATTTTGGCTTTTTATTGCATCTACTTTAGAACGACAACAACATCAAAAGCTCCACTGGAGCAGCCCGTTCCTTTGTACGGCAGCAGGTTTGACCCCAAGTTAAAAACTTGGAAATGGCTGAGCATTGCGGGTTAGTTTCAGGAGACACGAGTCCTGTCGTTCCCTGTTAATAAAGCATCCTGAGGGCTGCCCCTGGTTTCGGGGTGCTGTGCTCAGCGGGGGGGAAAGGCAGGTGCTGCCGGGGGGGTGAGCAGCATCCTGAGTATCCAAACCCTGGATCTGTCGGTGCCCGGAGCTTGGGGGAGCACTCAGGGAAGGCTGGGCCAAAATCTCCCCGGGAGCTGCAGGAGATAGAAATACCATGAAATGGTGGGGTCTCTCTGTAATTCAGCTGCTGAGATTACTCATTGCTGTAATACTCTCCTAGGCCTTTTTATTTCCTGCTCGGAAATAATTCCCAGGCAGATCCCACTTTCTGCATACGTTGTTGTTATTCCCGTGCAGCCTCCTCAGCTTCCAAATCACACTCTGAAAATGTTTCACTTATTGTTCCTACAACTAACACCAAAAATCCCTATGGCTGAGATGGTGAAACGTGTAAATATGTTTCTCGGGTTTATTGTTTGTTTCCTTTTTAGATGTGATGGGGTTTCGTGGAGGCTGGCTCTCTCAGCCCCTTGCAGGCAGGGTCCCCGGCACAGTGCGAACAGGGGAGGGAGAGGGCAAAGCGGATCCGCAAGGTCCATCCGTCGTCTGAAATACATTTCACCTCTTGCAATGAAGAAGACCTGAGTGCCAGCTGCTGGGGTCACGGTGCTAGTTAGTGGTGATATGCATAAAAGAGGTCAAATATACTTGTGGTTTTCTGCCTATAAGAGGGAGAATTCATTAAATGAGTCGGGAGCAGCTGCCTGCCACCTCTATCTCCCCTCTTCCTGCGCGACTTTTACCCTTTGTCACTGCAAGACACGATGAACTTTGTGCACTGAGCGGTTGTGGTGACACGTTGGTAGCATCCTTCAAAAGGGCTCAAGGAGGTCGCAGCCCAGGGATGTGGATGTTGCGGCTGAACGTCCCTCGGGAAACGTGGGGCAGCGGCAGCCCTTGCAGCATGCGAGCTGTCAGCTCAGGCTTTGCAGGACTTAGTGCAGGAAGAAATCCACGTTCCTCCAAAGAAGTGACACCCTGCGGGATGCTTGTGGCTGGTTTGTGCCTTTTTTCCGTCTTTCTGAACAGGCAAAAAGCAGCATTGCTCCTGCTCAGCCACCGCCAGATGAGAGGTTTGCTTCTGTAAAGGCAGAGCACTGTGTTTGTGCTGTCTCCCTCACCAGCAGCCGCTGTGGAGAGCTCTCCCTAAAAGTGCGCACTCCCATCAGTACTAGGGCAAATCAAGATCTATGGGACAAAGCCTGCTGAATTAAGGACTCATTAGGTTCCAAGAAACAGAGCTGTGGAGAGAGAAGGACTGACAGCCAGGAGCTGCAGGGCTGGGGCTGGTAACAGAGCGCTGGTGGGAAGGCGAGGATGGACAGGACCTGTAGCATCTCAAATTATATTAGATTACCAGGGTTTCTCTGTGCGTGTGGGCCAGTGGCTGTTGCATCCTGGCTGCAACCCTGGCCAGATCTGTTTCTGCACCTCTGGTTTCCCCAGTACCTACCAGAGAACCTGTCTCAGGGAGCCTGGCAGGGCAGGATTTGATTCCCGAGGCTTTCGCAACATGTCGGTGTTTCCCTGCCGTGGGTGCGCAGGCGATGCGGTGAGAGATGGAGGCCGGTCCCCGCTGGAAGGTGCCGCGGCATCACGCCTGGCACAGCCAGTACTGAGCACCACAACCTGCACCCAGCAGCTGGGGAGCAAACCTGTTGTGCCTGGGTTCCACACCCTCCGTGGGACCTGTTTTCGTGCTCTTGTTTAGCCAGAAATAGCATCAGCGATTGGCGTCTCCGCTGAGCATTCCTCCCTGCGGAGCATCTTCTGGAAACCCAAGCACTCCGGGGCCAGGAGGTTTGGGAGGGCCGTGTCTTGGGGGTATCCCGGTGCCAGGGACACCTCTTGGGGGAACCAAAGCAGCGTTTTATCTTCACAAAAGCAGCTCAAGTTGAGTTTGTCTGGGCTGGGCTTATCCAAAATGTTGCTCAACCTAGTGCACTCTGGCTCCGAGCCTGGATGGCTCCTTGCATGGAGACCCGCGCGCAGAGGGGAGGTCTCTGAGACCCATAGGAAAAGTGG